CTAAAAAGGGGGGGGGGGGGGGGGGGGGGTACTCATATTAGTCGTGCATGCCGTAGTCGTTAGACCATTGACCTCGCATCCCTACAAAGCCGGGACGGGGCACGCCGGGTTCTCACCGGACCAGGGGGTATTGGTTTGTGCGAAATAAAGGATATGTGTGGGTTGTGTTTTTGTTTTAGGTATTTTTCATTTCCTTGGTTTTTGGCGGAACGTATGGACCGCCAACAAAGCACAGACTACACACCTCTCACGGCGCTCGTCAATGCAATAAGCCCTGCTTACCGCTTACTGTAGGCGACATGACGCAAGACACCACACCCCGTGGACCTACTCCTGTCAAAGCTCCAATACAGAACTTCGAAGAGGATGCCAAAAGCAAACGATACTTTTCTCGTCACCCTCTCGATGAGACGCTTCCAACGCCATCATTTCATCATTTCCCGCATCATCACTGCTGTATTGTGCTGCAGAGAAAAATCGGCCTTTGAAAAATCGGCCCTGCAGAGAGGGAGGTGTACTCGTGTAAACGCATGCCGTAGCAGTTAGACGATTGACCTCGCATCCCTACAACGCTGACGGACCACTTTCGCGCCCACCTGCATTCCCGTTGACCTCAGTGCCTCGAGGTCTAGCGTGAGAGGGACCTCGACCTCCACGTCCATCTTCTTCGGCTGCCAGTCAGTGTCCACGTAGTACCTGGCCCACAAACAATGCCGGTGAGTGTGTTTGTGTAATCATAGCCGTGCATGCCGTATTCATTAGATCATCGACCTCGCGTCCTTGCAAAGACGGGACGGAGCACGCCGGGTTCTCACCGGACCAGGAGGGGGGGGGAGGGGTTCCAAGCACATGAGACCTCTAAAGATCCGGAGGACTTTCGCATGAGAAACCAAGAACAAGATGCAGATGCAGCCAGCTTCCACGATAGGTACTAGGTAGGTAAAGAAATCGAAACGGTTTTTAATGTGAAGACAGCAACAACATGTACGCATGTCAACCAAGAAGACCACAACAACAACAACAACAACACCACCACCACCGCCTTCTTCTCGCACCTGCGCAGCTGCACCAAGAGATATCTGGGAAAGTTCCCCAGGCGGACGTGCTTGAGGGCAGGCCCAGCCTTCCCAGTCGCGGGGCTGCGGTAGTCAGGCAAGGTCTCGTCTGCCGCCAGCCTCGCCAGGCACGCCGACAGGGGAACGACCGGCTTGATCTCCTCCTCCACCTCCTCCTCGTTGTTGGTGGTGGTGGCCTTGGGGTCGCACTTCTGCCTCTTGTTGAGGCGTTCCTTGTAGGCCTCGACCTCGGTCTTGTTGACGGCTGCCTCCACCGGGATCTGGCTCGCAAACAACATGAAGAAAAAAAAAAAAACGAGGAACGTGACGCCAGCAACGAGAACAACATGGAAGAGCACAGAGACGCAGTGGTGCTGAGACCGCCCGGTCTCGTTGACGGCCGGTTCCACTTGGATCTGGCTCGTTAAAAAAAAAAAAAAAAAAGCAAGACATGAAAAAAAAAAGGAAGGACTAGGAAGGAATATGTCGGGGTTTGGCTCGAATAAAAAAAAGAAAAAAGGACAAGAAAAAAAAGAAAGGACAAGGAACATGACGGGATCTGGCTCGAAAAAAACAGGACATGGAAAAAAGAAAAAACAACAACGAGGGACGCGACGCCAGCAACAAGGAAGAACAGAACACAGAGACGCAAAAAAAGCTTCACCGCTTGAGCACATCCCGTTCGACTACTGCTGTGGTTATACATATCTCGAACGGGTAGTACTTGTACAATTTATAAAAAACGAGGAGCCTACGCCCCCAACAACGCCACCATCATGTGAGGTAAAAAGAAAGCAGTAAGAACGCCTCATTGGGAATAGCACGGCATCTCGCTGTATACAGTCTGCGGGTGCCCCCCACCGGAGTCAACAACCGTAAGAGGTCTTTCCGGCAGTCAAGTCACACGTGAGGATAAACACCCCCGTTCTTCAATGCTTACCACACAGCAGCAAACAAACGTACTTTCCGACCAGCATAAACAGTACTATCATGCACACCTGGAGGCTGAGCAGGTTGTCCGCAGCCTGCGTAGTGTACTTGACAGTCCCGCTCTGCTGGCACTGTAGCCGGTCCACCAATCGGAACTGGAATAGGCTGGCCGTCTCGCGAGCACCGTCGCCCCCTCCGAGCCTTCCGGCACTAGTGCGCTCGGAGCGGCGCATGAACTACGCGACAAACAGGGAGGGAGGGCGGGCGGGCGGGCGGGCGGGGGGGGGGGGGGGGGGGGGGGAAAACCCCCAAAAAAAGACAAAACCCTTTAAAAAAAATTTTTTTCCCTTTCCCCCCTAAAAAAAAAGGGACAAAACCCTTTAAAAAAAAACCAAAGGAAAAAACCCTTTAAAAAAAATTTTTTCCCCCGGGCCCCCCCGTGGGGAACCCCAAACCCCAAAAAAAAAGGGGGGCCCCCAAAAAAAGGGTTTTAAAAAAAGGCCCCCCCCCCCCCCCCCCGGGGGGGAAAATTTTTTTGGCCAAAAAAAAAAAAAAAAAAAATTTTTTTCCCCCCCTAAAAAAGGGGGCCCCCCCTTTTAAAGGGGGCACAAAACCCCCCCCCCCCGAACCCCCAAATTTGGGACCCCCCCCCTCTGCCCCCCAAAACCCAAAAAGGGGCTTGCATTTCCCCCCCGGGCCTTTTTTCCCCCCCGAAAAAAAAACCCCGGGCCCCCCCCCCCCCCAGGAATTTAAAATTTTTTGGGGAAACCCCC